TGGAACTTGTGCACTATATCATTCATGCATGGTTGTCCAATAAAAACATGCAATATTATATAGTTGTAAATATAAATTTATTTTATCATTGATGATGATGGAGAGAGAAAAGATCCAAGACAAGAAACTCTAAAATAAAGTTATTTAAAATAATAATGTAGATGATTTTATTTGATTAAATCAGTTTTAACATGTCATATTTTTATTGAACAGACTATGAATAATATGATGCATTTAGTCTATGTAATAATTTTTATTTGTTTTATTGTATTTTTTTTAGAGTTAAGACACCTTCCTATAATATATAAGGGTGTTCACGAGATAGGACAAGATCAGAACACCCTTGTCCCATGTCCTGTCTCAAAAAAAGATCAAGATTAAATTCTTATCTTGTATCTCATTCCATCCCAAAAGTCATCTTATCCCATTAATAATCGGGATGAGATAGGAATGAGATTGGGACATCTCGTCATCTTGATAAATCAGACAATGTGAGAGAAAGATCTGAATAATAACATTCATTAAAAGTTTTAAATCATGTAATTTATTATGTTTAAAATTAAAACAACATGAGTGCATAAATCATAATAATTAAAATCAATTATTGAATTACATCAATCACAACTACAAAGTATATAATATATTATGATAGCAATTACAAAAAATTTTTAGGTTATAAAAAGCAAATACAACAAACGAGCGAGACATAACATCAAGTCATTATTTTTCTTTTTTAATCAAAATATGTTAAACTAATTACTCTTTCAAAAATAAAGCAAGAAATACGATATAAACAAAGTTATTAAATATATAGATATAAAAATAAATTATATTAATGTAAATAATATATTATAAAGAAAGATATTATCGTGTATTGCTTACTCTGTGTCACTAAAATTATCAATATAAAAAATTTTAGTTTTAAATAAGAATTGCACCCATTACAATTATAATTGATATAATTAATATAAATATAATTATATTAATATAATTAATATATTTAATGTATATTTTAAAATAATGTATATAATATTCAGGACAGGATGGGATGAGGGCAATTTTGTGTCCCATTCTATCTCTTCCCAAACCCCTTTCCCATCCTTATTGTTGTTGGACCAGGACAAGATCCCGTTCCAATATGATTGGGATGGAATTGAGCCAATCAGGATGAGTACAAGTTGAACACTCCTAATATATATATATATATATATATATTTATCTATATATAGTGAAGTATAGATCTAATTAAGTAATATGTTCTTTTTCTTTTTCTTCTTCTTTTTGTTGGAGTAATTTTCGTGGAGGCATCAATTACTCAAGTCCTAAGAAACTTTAATGAAATTAATTAAAAATTAATGTGCTTTTAAGAAAACGTTTGTTTTTTCCTCACCAATCCTCCTCTACAACTTATGAATTGAATTTTTCACAATAAAAAATTTAGATTAATTTATAAAAAATATAATCAGACCCAAGAAAATAAATTAAAATTTCACTGTTTCATCTAAATGATTGTGATGAGTTATAAAGAACATGTTTATAAAAGAAATTGTCAACCATCTCAAGCTAATTCTCTCCAAAGAAAAGTTGAAAATTTCATAAGAAAACTTTGTCCCATCTTGGTTTTAATAGATAATAAAAGAATTTAATTTATTCTCACACACACACACCCGTTAAATTATTATATAAATTTTTTCATTTACACATTTAGTTTGATAAGATAATAGTTATTATCATTTATTATAATTTTATTTGAAAAAAATAAATTGGCCTCACTAGTATGAGGTCTTGTAAGCAAGTTTATTAATAAAATATAGAAGTATTGTTCTCTTTTTTCTGAAATATTAATAAAAATAATTAAATAAAGATGAGGACAATATTTAATTTTATTGTTTTAATTATTTACTTTTTAGTACAAACATGCCCAAAAGGATTTTTTTCAGGAGTAGTCACTATTCTTTAATTTAAAAACTATGTGATATTTTTAACCATTTAATGATCATTGATTAAAAATAAATGATTGGATACAAAGAAAGTTGTAAGATACTCAAAGGAAAAAACCCGAAATCTTGACCTCAAATATTTCATGCTTGTTTAATGTCATTATATACAACTACAAGAGAATAATATTATTTCTTTCAATGCACACAAGATGGCATGTGTAATAAATATTATCCAACAATATATTTTTTGTTTAGTATCTAATCAAATTTAGGGTCTGTTTGGTTTAAATTATTTCATGAAACAATCACTTATTTTTGAAAAAAAATTATTTTATTATGTTTGTTTCAATCACTTATTTTTTGAAAAAATTATTTTATTATGTTTGTTTAAATTTTTAAAAATAATTAGAATAAAAAATAATATTTTTTATTATTTCAAGTGGCTACTTTAAATGGATTTTTCAAATAATCTAATATAGTATATGAGAGAAAGTGTTTTAAAGAAGCGGACGGGATACAAAAAAATATCATACATTTTAAAATAATATAATAATAAATTATTTTTATAAAAAAATCAAGGAAGATATTATAAAATTTAAAAATAACTGATAATAATATTTTTTTATTATTGTAATCAAACATAAAATAATGTCTGATTTTTATAAAATCTCTATAAAATAATTTTTTTATGAAATCTTTAAACTACCTAAAAATTACTTATTTTTTAATTTTGAACAAATGGATATTTAAGCATCGTCAGATCTAAATGAGTAGCCTTCCTTCAGTTTATTACTTCGACTAAAATTAATAGTTGTTGGTATTATTATTTTTTTTTTGGGAGCACAATGCTTGTTGGTTCAAAAAAGGTTGAAAGTTGACCCTTAAAATTATTGGGCTGTAAAGAGCCCAAGAAGTTGGGCCCATAAAATGAACCAACCTTTATTGTCCATGTCGTACAAAACTTTTTCAGTTATTTGACTTATTTCTTTCAACTTAATTCTTGGGCACGCCTCAGTTAATTTGTTCTAAGCCCTTTAAGAACGTTTCTTTCGTTTTCTGTACAACCGACGGCTTCAAGACTTGTTGCTCAAACACGTTGCTCTAGTCAGTAAAGATTTTTCTTTTTGACATAAAGTCAGTGAAAATTTGACCCATATTCTTAAACAAAAAGAATGAATCTTATTTATTAGTTTTTCCTGTCTTTATTATTAATAAAATTTTACATGTCTTTATTAGTTTTTCCTGTCTTTATCATTAATTCCTGTTAATATTTTACATGTATTACAAAATTCAGTTAAAATTAGTTGATGGTTTTAAAACTAACTTTAATGAAATTGATTACTTTAAGGAGATTGTTTGGTTAATTAGAGCATATCAAAACAAAGGGCATTTTTTTTAAAAAAAAAATAGAGCTCGTTTAGGTTGACTTTGAAAAACTAAAGTTTGCACAAACTACAATTTGCAAACTGAACTTGGGGTAAAATGAATAACTGGGGCGAGTGAAGAAAAAAGTTGTATGATTAACAATTAAGTAATCCTTTTGTTCTATTTATAGAGCACACAGAAAATTAATTTTGGAGTAAAAATAAAAAATTATTAAAGTTTAAGATAAAGTTAATGATATTTAGTGTCTATTTGAATATTTTACTTTTTAAATTTTAAAAGGACTTTTGTGGCTTTTAAAAAATAAAAGTTGTTTGCTTAGCATTTTATTTCTAAATGTACATTCTAAAAATCTATTCATATTAGTATTAAAAGTTCTTTTCCAAAAAGCTAGGGAGAGTTGCTTTTGGCATTTCAAATGTGAGGGTTAAAATTTTTAACCACCTCTTTTCCATGTTGTCCCTTGTTAATTTTTTTAAATGAAAATAAAAATATTATATATTTTTTAATAAATCAACATTAACATAAAAAAATCACATATGATAAAATTTGTATTTTTTTAGTAATTTCACATTTCAAAGTACTTTCTATCATATATTATTCAAATAATTTTTAATTTATTAAATTGACTTTCAAAAAAATGTATTCAAAATCAAATCTCGTTACAATAACTAATTTTTATTAAATTAATTTTTACTAAATAAACTTTTATTAAATTGAAAATCAAACATATCCTTAAATTTTTTTTAATTTCGATAAAATATATTAAAAATAATTTATAATTAAGATAAGAGGAAAGTATATAACCAACCATCCTCCCAATAAAAAAGCATATAACCAATCATGTCAAAGTGCATAAACCATCCTCAGTGATTGCCAAGCCTATCTTTATTACAGGAGAGGTGATGAGGATTTTTGAAGCAAAGGAGATTCAGCATCCCGGTACTGCATTGGAGTGACACGCTCAAAAGCGCAAGCCATGTTCAATGCAGAGTCTTGGATGAGACGAAGGATTCATAATTGGGGATCTGTTGAATCATTGAATAGCTTACAGTGAACGAAGGTCCCAGATGGATATATCGGTGGCTGTGAAGGATTTGGATTGGTCTCTTCTGTTTCCCACCAACCAACCCTAACAAAGTTGACCCCTCCTCATTTAATCCCATCAACTACCTTCATTTATTTCTTCTGCTCATCCCTTCAATTTCTGTCAGACACTCACAATTTGATCCTCTAGTTTAGTTATGGTTAACACTTAATGTGAAATTAGTGTGATCATGAAATATTTTGTTACTGTTAAAATATGTCAGGATCAAACAGTGCATCAGTCATCTAAGACATAGTTAACAGTCCTATGTTACTAGTATATTAATTATTTACTCTTCTATCATACAGTGACTATCAGACATTCACATTTGACACCTGCTTCATCTTGAGTCAGGCCAGCAAATCATCTATTTTTGTTAACTATTTTTGTTACCCAATTTAATGAGAAAACGACCCAAATTAAGACCACATGTAGTAATTTTCATTTTCATTGTTTTTGCTAGGTCATATCATCTGTTCACTTTTATTATGATGAAAAATATATGAGATAATTATATTTGGATGCTGGAGGCGCTTCAGACCAAAAAAAGGTACTGTTATTCTGAACTTCCGGACCAACATATATATTGCTCCTCTTTTAGACTGATTTGAGAGAGAGAAAGAGAGAGAGATTTACTTGTATTGAAAGCAAAGCAATCGATCGAAGGTAAAGAGGCAGAAAGAGAGAGAAAAGCAGTCTATTCTTGGCCTCTGAGAAGTCCAGTGAGTTTTCAAATGAAGGTGAAGCTTGCTGAGGGTGACAAAACCAGAATCACACTTGCTTGTGACGCATAATCTCAAACTCAAGAACCTTTGAAAGCCAGCCAGCTCATTTGGTAGCCTCTCAATTACTCCATATCGTGATCTGTGAGTGACCAAAGAAACTCCACTTCTCTCACGCACATCCCACCATCTTCTTCCACAGTTTCATCATTTGAGCTTCTGATAAACTATGAAGGGCAGACTCTGTTTCTTCATGCTAGCTCTGCAGATTCTTGTCTCGGTTTCTGGAGCAACGAGATCGATCCCACAAACTGATGCCATCATTTCCCATCCAGGTAATTACATCATGTGTGATCACTCTGTTTTAAGAATGTACATGTAGAAGACGGAGAGTATAGGATATATATTTCTCTTTCAAAGGGAAAAATTAACTTGTGACATTTCTTCAAATTTCTTATCTTCAAAGACCATGAGATTCTCACCAAAATAACATCTCTTCTTTTGTTCAATCTTTACCAGGCCAAGAAGAGGCTCCACAGTCATCACCATACGCAACAGAACCAAACAAGGTATGTATGTTCATTTTTCTTCTTCTCTCCTTCCTGAATGTTTAAAAGACCAACTCGATATTCAAATGCTGTAAATGCAATATTCTCTATTTGTAGAAGGGCATGGCAGAGACAATGGTGGAAGAAGAGTATGAAAGAAGAGGGGCTGGTAAAGTAGGGTCAAGCCCACCAAGATGTGAACACAAGTGTTATGGATGCACGCCATGCGAAGCCATTCAAGTGCCAAGTATTAGCAGAAGAAGCCATTTGGCTATTCAGTATGCAAACTATGAGCCTGAGAGCTGGAAATGCAAGTGTGGTCCTTCCTTCTACAGCCCTTGAATGAATATTATTCACTGTTTCGTTCATACAACTTCACACATACCCAGCTTATCTCAATGTTAATGTATAGTTGATTGATCCTATAATTCACGGTGTGATGTGGACAAGAGAAGTATTTGTCGAAGCCATAAAGGCATAATCCTTCTGGTAATTAGAAGTGTCTTCTTAATGACTAAGAGACTACTAGATTTCCCATAAATGATGCTTAAATTTTAAATTTCATAAATAATCCTTGTTATGTAAGAACATTTCATTACTTATAATTGTCATTTTATAAATAATAATGAATTGTGATATTTTTAAAAGTTATATTCAATTTATAGCTTTTAAAAAAATATAATTAATTTAAAATTAATTATAAATATAAAGAGAGAGACTTTCTTGTTATACTAAAATTGTACATATTTAAGGCATATTTTTCATTAAATTAGAATAAGTTTAAAAAACTTACATATAAATTTTTTAATTGGAAAACAGTAGTAAATAATTTTCGATACTTATTTTTATAAATATTGTATCAGTAAAATAATTTATTAATTAAAAAATGGATAATCCATCTAAATTCAAGAGTTATAATTTTATTATATAATTAACAAAATGATAAATCATGGAATTTATGACTTCCAAAGCTCCTATATAGTCAAAGAGACATTAAAGAAGAAATGCTTACAAAAGGAAATCAAAACCCACCAAGGGAGGCATCTAGACAAGAAATCAATCCATAACCATGATACTTGTGGAAGAACATTTTTGTGTCAGCTTAATTTTTTTTTTTTAAAAAGAACATATCTGAGTCCAATGTGAAACAACATTAAGGAACAACATATCAACGCATAGGAAATATATGTATGTTTTTTTCCCCCAAATCCTTTTGGACCAAGTGCATGCTCTTGATTTAGCTTGGCACTGTGAAAATATAGTCATTCAAGCCTCTGATAGTAGGAATATTGATGTTGATAATGCTGAGTGTGCTACTGAGACAATACCTTTTGGTCTGAGTTATTTGGTGATTTTGATATTTTTGAGATATATGTTTGCTTTGACCTTTTTCCATTATTTCAGCTTTTAATTAGGAAGCATCTTTGTTCCATCGGGGGATGCTAGGACTACCCTTGAGATTTCGTTTGTTTGTTTTCTTTTGTCTTCTGTTGTTTCTGTAGTTGAACTTTGGTGTTTTCATTCGCAATATATTTCTTGTTTTATTGGGCCAAAAAAAAAAAAGAATTTAATTCAATCAATCGAATCACTCATGTGTTAAGGAAATTGGTTGACACTAATTGTGTTTTTTAAAAAAATATTAGTGTGACAATCCAAAGCCACCCTTTAATTCTTTTTATTATATTTTTCTCTCTTTACAATTAATATTGCTGCAAATTTTAATATGAAGAGTATTTTTTAAAAAAATAATGCATACTTTATTATTTTTCATAAAAGGTCTTATATTTTGAAATATAAAAAATTTTAGAATATAATTCCTCCATTCAAAAATGTAAAACATTTTAAATTGAACCTCACCTTAATAAAGTAGTTACTTATCTTTAAACTAATTCTATTTTTTTATATTTATTCTTATTTAATAAAATGTTTCATCCTAAAAAGATATAAAGTAATCTACTTAATAAGGGCACTTTTTTAAAAAAGTAATGATTACATATTAAAAGAATCAAAATACTTTATATTTTTTAATATTCAACCCCTTCAAAAAAGTTTTACATTTTTTAATGAAGAGAGTATATCTTATGTAAAGAAATAGATGGAGTATTATGTCTATCAATGAACCTATCAAACATTGTAATTCTTAGAAATAATCATTTGATTACAGACCCATAAAACATATGCATGGATCAATATAAAATATTTATTTTTGAATTTTGGTAAGTTGCAATATTTTTTTAAAAACAAAAGATGCTCAATTGCTTTTATTTTTTATTTTTTAAATGAAATGACATTTTCTTACCCTAGATAATGAAAATGAAATTTCTCTTTAAGATGATACTCAGACAGTTATTCTTGAGCTATATTATTTATGAGCAAACCTATAAAAATGCAATTCATTTTAATACCTTTAATTAATTTGATATATTTTAAGAAAATACCATTGAAGCAAATTAATATTAAATAAGGATCAAAGATTATGTGGTATCACTATAGGATTAAAGGACCAATTTAAAAATAATTTTAGATAAAAAAAATTATAAGACCCTTACTTTTCTTCTTTTTTTTAACTTGTCAACTAGTGAATTGTTTTTTATTAAGTGTAAATGAATATTTGTTAATCAACGAATAATCGCGTGTTAAAACATGACCTACATTTATCTCTTTTTATAAATAAGTTCTTTCATATTTTTAAATTTATCAATTAACATATAACTTATTGTTAAATATAAATGAGTATTTATTAATTAATGAATGACTAATTATTAAAATATGATATATATTTGTTTTTTACTTTTTTTGACACAACTGCAAAATCTTTTGGCCTTTGGTGATATTAATTTGCTCCTATGGTCTTAAATGATATTTCCCTTCTTATTTTTGGTCCGAGGGGTCCATTGGGTCGTCACGGTTAGTTATTTATGCGTGAGGCTGTGGCAATAAGAGCGAAGAATCACTTGCGCAATTTACAAAATTGTCCTTCCCTCTAAGGAAGGAAACGATCCTCTATTCCGCCAGATCACAGATCTGCCAAGTCCAAGCTTCTGTGACCCCTCTTCTCGTCTCAGAAATGGCGTCTCATGTAAGTCTTTCTCGGGTCCTCTTACTTCTGCATCCTATCTTTCCGAGTATTTTCGTAGCTCTAATCTTGCTCTGAACACAAATCACGATGCAGTGGCTAACCATTACGGATACTTTCGATAGTTCTGATGAAGGTCTAGGAAAGAAAGCAAACTCTAGGGATCTGACATTGAAGTCCTTGATATTAGAATGGACTCCTAGAATTACAGAAATCTTGTTGAGTCTGGGAATTGATTTTAAATTCATCTATTTTCTGTTGATAGTTTTCTTCTTGTGGTCTAAAACGACTGGTTGGATGTTTAATTGCTTCAGTGTGTGTGTGTGTGTGTATTTAATTCTTTGGGAAATGGGATCTAAATCTGGGGTATATTCTTCTTGTTATTTTGGATCCGTTTAGAACACTCGTTTTCTCACTTCTGACAGCCAAACTTCGTTTTTACGGCAAGTAGAATTTCAATTAGGGTTTGAATGCTAATTGTTGGTTAATAAACTCAACAAAGGTGTCGCCAGTTTCTAGATCTGTTACTGGTTAGTTGCCATTTTCTAAGTACGACAACTTGGCAGCTTCTTGTGAGGGACGCAGTGATTGGGCAACATTGAAATAGGATGGCTTGCATCTAGTTGAATTGAGTTTGTTTGTGTTATACTGTTATTTACATATGGGCACTGTTTTTCACCTTTTTTCATTGAAATAGAAGATTCTATAGAGCTTATATTATCAATGTTTCTTGGGCTCTCTTTTCCTTTCTTCACCAGAGAGGTGGTGACAGATATGGTACACATTTTATAACTTGAATTGGTATGTCCTGTCTTGTATAGGGCTTATGCCCATCGGTAAAGAACATTCTTCTTCTAGATTCTGAAGGGAAGCGTGTAGCAGTCAAGTACTATTCAGATGACTGGCCAACAAACAATGCAAAATTGGCTTTTGAGAAGTTAGTATTCAATAAGACTGTGAAGACAAATGCTCGGACAGAAGGTCAGTGCAGAGGTTCTTACTGATGGACAGAAACTAATCATTACATGAAGTCACATGATTTTTCGTTGTTGTAAGTTGTATGTTATGCATATATGTCTTCAAAACCTCTAACGTGAGTCAAGAATTTATGCTCATTCAAAATTAAGCTGTAGTGTTGGGCCCTGTCTTAATAATGAATTGAGCAATTATTGCCAATTCTTGACTTGATCAGTAGTTATGTTTATCGTGTTTCGTTATTCAGTTATGACTGATGTGCTATTTACTATTATCTGCAGCTGAGGTAACATTAATTGAGAATAATGTCGTTATATACAAGTTTGTTCAAGACTTGCATTTCTTTGTCACTGGTGGTGGTGATGAAAATGAGCTCATTTTGGCTTCAGTTCTTCAGGGTTTCTTTGATGCAGTCACCTATTTGTTGAGGTATTTTAGGTTATATTTTGCTTTCAAGATTTAGGATTAGAGTTCCCTGTTACTCATGTTTTTTAAGACATGAAACGTGCGCATATATTATCTCAAATTTCAGGAGCAATGTTGACAAAAGGGAGGCGCTTGAGAACTTGGATCTCATCCTTTTATGTCTTGATGAGATTGTTGATGGAGGGTATGCTTGTCTTCTTAACTGAAATGTTTATTTCTCTTTAAAATTATAATTCTTTTCTTAATACCCTTTTTTTCTTCCTTTAAGGATGATACTTGAAACAAATGGATCACTCATTGCTGAAAAGGTGACCTCTCATAGCATTGATGCTGACGCCCCCTTATCTGAACAGGTAATTCAATTTTGTTTTAGTTTTTGTCTTCACTTCCTATTTGATTTTACTTTGCAAAGTCATATAAATCGGCATATAGACTGTCGGCTGCTAAATTATTACGTTTTGGTGTTATGTAATTCTCAAACTATTTTGTTTTTTTGTTTTTTTTTTTAAATTTCTGATTTTGGCAAGCTATATTTCATTGTGCACAAGTTATTTTTGACTTGGTTGTACTGAAAATCTTGGATGTTGATGACTCGGTATCTTTGACCTTCGTTCTAATGGTGTGATTCTAATATTGCAGACATTAACTCAAGCATGGGCTACGGCTAGAGAGCATTTGACAAGAACCCTTCTGAAATGATGTTTACGTGACCAGGAGTGGGTTTATCCATGTTTGAAATGTTAGTCTTTCTTTTGTTAGCGAGAGTTATTTTATCCTCCAATTTATTGGGCTTGAGACTGGAGGATCATACCATTCCGGCGACTCCATTGTTCGAGGATTCTCGAGAAGTGATTTATTATTATTGTTTTTTTTAAAGGTTAAAATTATGTGCTGATTTTATATCTGGTTGACCTTGACGACATATATATTTGAGACGTATAATTAGTTTTATAATGAAAGAAATCGGGGTTGGTCATACGGCTTAAAGGATTCTGCGTGTCAATTTCACTTCATCTCTGTCTTTGATTGAACATGAGTGAGGGCTTATTGCCAAATGCTACGCGTGTTTCTTTGGAAGGTATTATGTTCAAGCACGTATGCTTTATTAACTTGTTCTTCGCTG